CGCGGGGGGGGCTGCGGCTGCCACGTTGGAGCGGAGCGTGGAGGTGGCCCTCGGCCGCGGAGGAGGGGCTGCAGCGGCGGATGCGGGGAGAGTCCGACGGTCGCTGGCTAACGCAGGACAGACAGGTCGCCGAGGTCCGCCAGGTGTGTCTGCCGTTTGTTTCCTGCCCCTCGCCAGGTTCGGAGTCCGCTGCCGAGGCCCGAGGCCCGCTCTCCGCTGACGGCGCGCCCCTGTCTCGTTTTGGCCCCGCCGGGACAACGCCTGGAGTCGCCACAGCCGGGTGATCGCGCCCGTCATCCTCCGCCAACGTTTCCAGGCTGCCCTGCTCCCGAGTGAGTTTGAGGTTAGGACCCTTCAGAGCCTGTGCACAAAGAGGTGCGATCCCCAAGGGCGAGGAAGGGAAACAGACCTCAGGATTGTTTCTATGACTTCAGTTAGGTAGAGATTTATTTAAAAAAAATTGTGTTTGAACTGTTGCCAAATTTGAGGGTTTACCGATTGTAAACGAAGACTACTGTCATTTAACTACGATTGTATTATTTAGGTAGGGTCAGCAGTCGCCAATCACAGCCTATACCTTCAAAAGTGTATGATTTTGCTGCTGATGTTACACTGAATTAAATTGTGAGGCACTTGTAAAATAATTGCCTGGACTTGTGGGCGTATAAACTTTTTCTGTGAGCTCGTAGAACTAATTCTGCAGGGTTTTGTCGTTTTGTCTTTTGGAAGTTGCAAGAGGTTTTTTTTGGTTTTCTTGGTTTTTTGTTTTTTTGGTAGTTTCTCCAAATTGTTAAACTATAGAAAGCTGGCACTTGCTGCTTTTGTTTACAATTGTAACTGTTAAATAGATGATTAGAAGCTTGCTCTTTTCCCTTAAATCCTGATTATCCAGAAGGTAGCTAAATTTACTGCCCTTTTGAGTAGTTCTGTCCTTGTTTCTCTATTAATTATATCTCCTAGAAAGATTTGTAGGGAATGAAAACCTTTGGATAATTGCTGTCTAATTGTGAATAAGTTACACGTTTATGGAGTTTGCAAATGTGAGATTTGAGATGAGTTTTGGATTTTACTGATTAATTTATGTAAACAGGTTCTTTCCTGGAACATGTTAAGAGTAGAAAGACATTTGTAAACTGCAAAAAGCAGTGACTGTCAATCTTTTGGCATTTTTATTCCTCTTTGAAAGCATTGGGCTATCTTCCTAGAAAAAACGTGTTTACACTGTAAGCTCATGCCTGGATAGAATTTTCTATGTAATTTCATGGGGTTCGAAAATTCCATATTAAAAACTTGTAAAGTGATACTGTTAAATTAATTTCTTTGTCTTTCTTCCTCTCTTCTTCCCTCCATCCTACATTCTTTGAGATAGGGTCTCATGTGACCCAGCATGGCCTCAGACTCACAGAATAGCCAAGGATGACCTTGAATTCTGACGGTCCTACTCTTAGCTCCCAAATTCTGGGATTTCATGCATGCACCACCACACTAGACGTGTTTCCTTTTTTGTAGGTTAATTTTACCTCCTAAGGTTTAATCTTGTATATTAATTAGTGTGATATCATTTAGTTCAGCAACCAAGATATGGTTGATTTTTGCAGTTGGTTGAATGAGGTGAGCCTGGAACAGTTGATAGTGCTAACTCACTCCTGAAGCATAGACATTCCTACACTTAGTGAGATATGTTGATAGTGCTAAGTGCCCTGAAGAACAGATATCCCTGTCCTTAGTGAGATGTGTTGTTGCTCACATGCACTTTTACTGAAAATAGTGCCAGTAAAGGATTTGCATTCCTCATTAAGAGTCAAAGGTGTGGAGGCCATTACCTCTGACTTCTCACTTTCCTATTTGTGGGGTGGCTCTATAGTGTTGCAGTGTTGCTACTTTTGACAGAATAGTACTGTTGGGTTTTCATATTGCTTCATAAAACTTGCAATTTGAAAATCAGTTTAGGCCTACCCTTCCTAGTACCCACATCTAGTGGCTCACAGTCACCTCCAGTTCCAGGGCCATGGCATCTGCAGGTATCTGTAGGTACACAGACACAAACACACATGAGTATAATTTTAAAAATAAGAATACCAGTGGAAAGAAAAAAGCTTTCACTTAAAATAAGTTCTTGTCTAGAACATCATGTTCCTCAGATGTTAGGTTTTGGTCTTTTTTGTTGAGGGAAGTTAAGAAACACAGGGCTTTGATTATTCTAGGTATGTATTGTGGGCTGTAGCCCTAACTCTTGGGTTTTGGTTTTTTGGTTTTTTTTGTTTGTTTGTTTGTTTTTTAGTTTTTTTTTGAGACAGGGTTTCTTTGTGTAGCTTTGGAGCCTGTCCTGGAACTAGCGCTTGTAGACCAGGCTGGTCTTGAACTCATAGAGATCCACCTGCCTTTGCTTTCAGAGTGCTGGGATTAAAGGTGTTCGCTACCACTGTCCGGCTCTTGGTTTTGTTTTTTTTGTTTTTTTTTTGTTTTGGAACAGACTCTTATCATTGTAGCTCAGTTCGCTACCACTGTCCGGCTCTTGGTTTTGTTTTTTTTGTTTTTTTTTTTTTGTTTTGGAACAGACTCTTATCATTGTAGCTCCGTCTGGCCTAAAGCTACTGCTCTCCTGCCTCTTAGTCTCCAAGGATTACATACCTCTGGGTGCCACCTTGCCTAGCACTAGATGTATTCTTGAAGACGTGTTGGGAAAGAACTTTTAAGTTTCGAATTGAGAGCAAGAGGCATTCTCAATAGGTGTGCCTTTTCTCCAGGCCCTTCAAATTGTGGTTTTGAAATAGCTGTTGTCAGTGAGTTTTTATTTACTATGGGCTAAGCAAAGTTCTAAATACTCTAAAACCTTTTTTAATTCTCCCAACATGTGATGTGACTAGCTTTGTGGGAGAGGAACAAAAACACATATATGCAGTGACATGAGACGTAGAGCTGAGACTTAGGCTGAAGTTGAAGCATAAGGTGTGTGTTCCAGGCCTCAGTCTACCTGCTGTGCTGTAGGTACTGTCTGGTGGGTGATAGATACGAACAAACCGCTGTCCTCATAGTGCTCATTTCCTATTTTTGTTATGTTCTGGGTAAAGTGGTCTTGAATGAAACAGTGATGTACAATGAGAATACAGTCACAATATCAAAAAGCTACACAAACTATTGTAATTGGGAAGCATCGACAACTTCATTTAATCCCTCATATTCTAAGGAAGTCATTTGTAATTAAATAAACATGTCTGAGAGGGAAATACTGTATTTTTGTAGCATTCTTATACAGATTATGGTAGTCTTGTTTAATTTGATTCAGAACTTATTGCAAACATGTTGTATTGTAACACAGGGTTTTCTTTTCATAGCTGGCACTGAAACTGTATTCACAGTTTAACTGGCACAGGTTAATAAGAGGAACTACTTTTGACCAGAACCTTGAGTCAGACACGAGTAGGAATGCTTTGCGTTCCTACTTAGCTGTCTTATGCCCCTGTGGTTATCTCTGTGTTACACATTAACTAAACACTTTGGAATTAGGTAGCCCTTGTACTTTTGCTGTCAGAGATAGTATAATTCTAACCAGGATTTTTTTTGGGTGGGGTGGGAGGTTGTTTGAGACAGGGTTTCTCTGTATAGCTTTAGCTGTCCTGGAACTCACTCTGTAAAACTCACGGAGATCCACCTCCCCCTGCCTCTGTGTGCTGGGATTAAAGACTCCCACCACCTGACCTAAACTCCACCTTTAAAAAAAAGTACATATATGCATACATATATACATATATATATATATATATATGTTTATATGTATGTGTGTGTATATATATGTGTATATATATTATTTGTTTTTCTTTTTAGAAATCACTCTGAAATTAACCACTCCCTACCTTGAATTTTTTTTAAGAAATCACTCTGAAATACTTGCTAGTATTTTTATTCCTATTTTTAAGCATAAAGAGATCCTCTACGTAGTTTAAAATTTTAAAAAAAGTTTTATCCAACTCTAGTCGTTTTAGCTTATCTTACCAAGTACATTAGTTTTCTTTGACTGTAAACATTAAAAATTGAAACAAAACTTTTGTATATTTTATACATACCTCAGGCCACCCTAAGCAAATTTGGATTGTTTATTTGTTTTTATGGGTATGTGCATATGCTTTTGTAAGTTTATTTATATCACATGCATATAGGAAACCCTTGGAGGCCAGAAGAAGGCATCACATCTTCTGGACTTGAAGTTACAGACAGTTGTGAGCTGCTATGTGGGTGCTGGGAATTGAACCTGGGTCTTCTGCATGAGCAGTAAGCACTTTGAATCACTGAGCCATCTCTCTGGACCCACCCTAAGCAGTTGTGAATCCCAAAAGAATAAGACTTAATACATGATTGAAAACTGATGATACATAAAGAAGTTTGTAAAAAGGCAGATTGGAATATGTACTAACAGGATATAATGAGGTATCTAGATAAAATAGGATGATAGTGTATTATAAAATGCCTAAAGTGTGACCCTGCTGGATGTGAACAGACATGAGCTTATTGAGATCCCTGTGAATTGGATTTTCATAAATGAATTGGAACTTGAATCTTCTATTAAAGATTAAGTCGTTGGCTTAGAGGAGAAGAGGACTCATAAAAAGAAAATAGGTCCTGTTTTTGTTTTTTTCCTACAAAACCAGAATCTTTTTTTCACCTTGAGTGATCTTATGTATGGTATTTTCTCAGTCTTAGATAATGGTAATCTTATTTTAAGACCTGCTCTCTGGGGTTCAATTCTCCGCACCCACATGGCAGCTTACATCTGTCTGTAACTCCTGTTCCAGGGGATCTGACAGCCTCACAACAGACATAAATGCAGGGAAAACACCAATGTACATAAAATACAAATAAATGAATAATTAAAAAAAATACTGGGTTTCATTATATATCCCTGCCTGGCCTGCAATTTACTGTGTAGTCCAAACTGGCCTCAGACTAGCAGAGTTCCGTCTGCCTCTGCCATCAGTACTAGACTTAAAGGTATGAGTCACCATGTCCAGGACACGGACACACACACACACCTGCTTTGATTTGGAGGCATGAATCCAGGGCCTTGCATAGGCTAACCACTGGTACTCTACCAGTGAACTGATTCCCTCTGCCTACCTTTGTGTGTATGTGTGTGGGTACATATGTG